GTTAATTTTCACCACTATAGCTTCTTTGTGTACATCTGAAACACATAACAATAGGAGGCTGAATATTTTAAAAGCAAAAAGAAAGCAACACACAAAGGGCATACTGGTAATCTCCCCTTCTATAAAATTTTGGAGACCCAAAGTTCCAGCAGACACCCATACCTCAATTTGATTTCATTCACCCATAAATATAGTTTCCCATTTTCTGTATCACTGTATTATAGCCTCAAGAACCACCACCAAAACCTATTTATAGTTTGTTATTACAACTAACATTAAACAAAGAAAGAATAGAAACATGCTTGGTTCTGCTTAAAGTCAAATTTACTTCAAGGGTTACTTATTTTGTCAAATATTCTTATAAGAAACAAAGTTATCCATTACGAATACTTAATTTTTCAATCAAATATTCATCAATTAATTTAATTTAAACCCCATCTATCACATTTATATGTACATATATAACTTCGAAGAAAGAAAGGGACTTTACCCATAGTTTCCTTTTGTTGCTTGTTGCTGGAACCACGAGGTCGTCCTCTGCCCTTCTTGGCAGTTGGCGAGGCCGATCCGCCCAGATGTGGCTGCGGCTGCGGAGGAGTTGTGACGGATGGTGGAGTTGCCATAGACTGTGAGAAAGTCCCACTGATCGGCGGAGGTGGAGAGATGCCGACAGGCCGCTGGCCTGACGTCATAGCCACTGCCATGCTGCCATCGGGGCCGTACTTCCTCGGCCGCCCTCTCTTCCGCTTCTGCTCACCAGAGTTCAAATTCGTGACATTTTTTACTGTGGCCACGCCCGCAGGGACAGGATTGTACGGCTGCGGGGATGATCCTACGGGCCTGTACACCGTAGCACTTCCATCTGTGGTGTACACCATCCGCATAGACTGATCCAACTGCGCCTGCGAAGCCGCCGGGGTCTGTGCTGGTGCCGGTGAATTATGGACGGCGGAAGAAGTGGGTGCTATCATGAATGGCTCCCGACTGGTCATCAGAGTTGTGGCTTCAGCCCCCGACATTTTCTTGCCGGGTGTCTTGAATTACCTTGAATTTTTTTGAAAATTACCTGACAAGAGGACCACGGAACAAAATAAGATCTTCTGCTGAAGAACTAAACCCTACTCACATTTTGAAAGTAATTGAATTCAACTGTCACTCATGACTGCACTGAAACAAAAAATGCACAACTTTGATGAAAAAATCAAATTGAAATTTAGTAATGAGAAATGAGAAATCAAAGAAGTTTGAACAGTAACAGCAAGATTTTACCATTAAATATTCAAATTTGAGCTGAATTTTCCCAATTTGCGAAAGAAATTAGCAAAAAAATAGCTCGAAATCACCTTTAAACAGGAAACCCAGTTTTTCAAAATTTTGATTTTCACAAATTTAAGAATAACAAAATAACCCTAAAATTGAAAAGAAATTTAAGAAAATAGCAGAAAAAAGAGGAAAAAAAAATAAAAAAAAATCTCACAATAAATAGGGAAAATTCTTTGAAGCAGCGAAGAATTACAAAGAATCAGAGATTGGAAATAGATAAAAGCAAATGAAATTTTTTTAGGGTTTTGAGAGAAAGGCTTTTTGTAAAAATAATTGGCATCGTTAATAAAATAAATTTAAGGAAGGAAGTGGCATTTTCGGCAATTACTTCCCACTAATATCTTATGTATGAAGAATATCCTAAAAAGAAGAAGAAAAAAAAAAAAAAAAA